TTCACTTCCCTGTACTACTCACCCCTACGGAACAAATCTACAACCCCTCGCATCCACCGTTCAAACAAATCCACTCTCAAGATCAACGGACCCCGTGCCGAACACATGCAGAAAACCTCGGCGGGCCCCGCCGCCTACCACCGCGTAACAGCCGGGCCCCACAGAGTCTGCCGAAGGCTGAATCGACGGCCCTGCGTGAACCCCGGCAGTTAAAATCGACGGCTGAAGATACGGCATCGTTACGTTACTCACGAGAGAGAGAGAGAGAGACAGAGAGAGAGATACCCTAGATCCGTAGCGTCTTTCCTTCTTTAGTTCGGAAGCTGACTCTCAATCACTCCTCTCTTTTCCAGCCTGGTTTTCTTGTTTCTCCGACCAGGTTCCCTGCTCTCTCTCTCTATCTCTCTCTGTATCTATCTGCGTGTGAAGAAGAGAATACAATCTAGCGAGATATACTTACAGAGAGAGAGAGAGAGAAAGGGGGGAGTGAATTCGGAGATATTAAGGTTGAAGGAAGAATGAGCGGCGGCGGAGATATGAACCAGCAGCAACAGCTTCAGCAGCAGCAGCAGTGGATGGCGATGCAGCAGTACCAGCAGCAATGGATGGCCATGCAGTACCCGCCGGCGGCCATGCTCATGTACGGCCAGCAATACGTGCCGTACTACCTCCAGCACCAGCAGGCGCCGCCGCCGCCACCGCAGCAGCAATACCAGCAGAATAAGCAGTCGCCGCCGCGGATTCAGAGCTCCGGCGAAGATAACAGGACGATCTGGATTGGCGACCTCCAGCAGTGGATGGACGAGGGATATCTTCATTCCTGCTTCGCTCCCGCCGGCGAGGTCAGCCAAGCTCCTTTTCCTCTCTTTTTAAATCTCTGGAAATTTCTGTTCTTTGTTGTTTATCTAAATTTTTCTTTGATTAATGCCATGCTCGTTATATATACTGATAATTATCGGATCTGGATGTACATATGTAAGCAAAGGTGGAATCTTGATTGGGATGTTAAATAGTTACACGAAATATGGTAATATACATAAGATCTTAGCTAATGACCTTAATTTGAAGAGAAAACTGGACGTAATATTAATGGGAAGATATGGGTTCTTCCATACTTCAACGAATGACTATAGATTTATAGATTTGATTAGGAATAAAGTTTGAAACTTTACAGTTTGGATTTTTTCTTCCATACTTCAACAAAGGATTATAGATTTATAGATTCGATTAGATATGAAGTTCAAGACTTTCCAGTTTGCATTTTGTTGCTAGTGTGTGCATATCCAAACTACGATTTCTTGTTTCGTTGAATCTTAAAACATGGTTTCCTCAGCTTTTTAAGCTCAAATCCAGTGGCTCAAGATCTGATATAAACACTCAATATTTACATGTCTCCATGATATATATAGGTTCTTTCGGTTAAGATTATTCGCAATAAGCTGACGGGTCAATCAGAGAGATACGGGTTTGTTGAGTTTAGTACTCATGCAGCTGCTGAGAAAGTCTTGCAGAGCTATAGTGGCACAATGATGCCAAATGCCGAGCAGCCCTTCCGCTTAAATTGGGCTTCTTTTAGCACCGGTGATAAGAGAACACTGGAGCCTAGTTCTGATTTATCAATCTTTGTTGGAGATTTGGCTGGCGATGTGACCGACACACTATTGCACGAAACCTTTGCCAATCGATACTCATCTGTTAAAGGTGCAAAAGTAGTTGTTGATTCGAATACCGGGCGCTCAAAAGGCTATGGCTTTGTTAGGTTCGGTGATGAAAATGAAAGGTCCCGTGCCATGACTGAAATGAACGGTGAATATTGTTCTAGTAGGCCCATGCGGATCGGTGTTGCAACTCCCAAAAAACCGTCAACGCAACACCAACATTCTTCACAAGGTAGGACATGTGTTCTTTAGTGCTGCTATTATTGTATTCTAAATCTTGTTATGTGATTTTGACAATACCAAAAATCTTGTCCTTTTGTTGTCATTTTTAGTATCTTAGATTTAATTTTCATGTTAACAATAGAACTTCTATAAAATATTTGTTTAGCTGGTGGATTTGCTTCGAATGGTGCTCAAACCCAAGGCTCCCAGTCTGATAGTGATTCATCCAACACAACGGTGAGCCTGGCCTGACGTTTTTTAAAGTTATTATGATTATTATTATTATTATTATTATTTACTAATGTTTGATTTGTGTCTAGATATTTGTGGGTGGACTCGATTCTGATGTCACAGAAGAAGAACTAAGGCAGTCCTTTATCGAGTTTGGTGACGTTGTCTCTGTTAAAATACCAGCTGGAAAAGGGTGTGGTTTTGTACAATTCGCTAGCAGGTAAACCCGATTATATTTGATGAACTCATGAAAACTTAGGGTGTGTTTGGTTTATGGGTTTAGCTATCAGGAATGGGAATCAAAGTCATTGTTATTGTTTGGTTGACAGGTTTCTAGAGCACTACTATGGGATTTGATTACTCCTTTAATTAGAAAACCCATTCCTTAATAAAATAAGGGTTTCATTCCATTATTCCCGCTCCTAATTGGTAATTTGATTTTTACTTTAAGATTTTTATTTTTATTTTTGTTTATGTTGGTGCTTTGGATGTCTATATATTAGAATAAATTGTCTTGATTTTTTGTTATTGTATTTTTAAAACCTTTATTCCCATTATAGGATCATACATAAGTACATAACTAAACAACAATATTGGTAATCATTCCAATTCCACCCTACTACCAAACATGCAAAATACTTTCACCAAAACTCATTACCATTACCAAGTATTTAATTCCCATTCCGATTCCCATGTGCGAACCAAACACACCCTTACTGTTGATAGTGGTTTATATTTGCTCATGGAATTAAGCATTTTATCAGATGTGACTGTTTCGTGTATAATAGTATTGTACAAATGGCCCTGGTTTAAAGCCCATACATAACCGCCTTATTTTCTGTCTCTCTGTAGGAGTGCAGCAGAGGATGCATTGGAGAAAGTAAATGGATCCGTCATTGGGAAGCAGACAGTTCGCCTCTCCTGGGGTCGAACTCCATCAAACAAGCAGGTATTACACGAAAACGAATTATTTTAATTTTTAATCTATTATGTCCCACATTGCACAACTATTCAGTCTGGGCAAGTGGGCGTTGTTCGTAAGTCTGTTAGATCCCCACCACGATATGAGCTAGCTTTTGAGGTTCTAACCCGATTTCTTAATTCTAACAAAATCCCATCCATCCATGATTATCTGTTTGGTAAATAGTTAGTTTATCAGTCAATTTTGGCTTATTTGACCACTATTAGCTGTTTGGCTTGGTTGAACAATCAATATGAATGTTTGATTAATAGCTTTTTGTAACAACTTATTGTTCCAAAATGCTAAAATTCAAAAAGCTGCTCAAAGTAACTTTTTCGATAAGCTTTTTGAGAAGTCATTTCGTATGTAATCAGCTATTAGCTAACAACTAATTTACCATACACGATGTTTTTAAAATCAGCTAATGCTATCAACTATTCAACTAGTCACACCCACTAATCCAATCAGCTAACAGCTATTTACCTCAGGGTCAGGGGAATACCCAATTTGTTCATGACATGATTTGGAGCTTAGGGTTAACTCAAAACATGGATCTGTGTTCTTTATTATCAATTTTATTGTACTGTTGCGCTTATGTTTCTTTTTGCTCTCCTTTTAGCATGGGAGAAACGAGAATAATGGTCAATGGAATGGAGGTTATTACGGAAGGCAAAATTATGGTGGATACGGGGGATATTATATCTCACAGAATAGGGATCAAAACATGTATACTGCAGCGGGCTATGGGAATCACCAGCAACCCGTAAGCTGATACTACTGGATTGTACTCTGAGTTAGACATCGTCAGAAAAACTAGACGCATCTTTTACTTTTATTTTTGGTTGAAGTTGAGGCTGATATTAAAATCAGTCTGTGTGTGAGAATTTTGTAGCTGGATTGAATTCATCCATTAGCTAGTTCAGGATACGTACAATGCACACTAGAAACCTATGGTTGTCTTAATGATTGGTGATACTTTACGACTCCTTCTGTTGTGTGTTATTTTTCCCGTCTTCTATCTCATTAATATGATGCTCTAGGCAGAAAAAAATTTGGGTCTCACAAACCTTAATGGTTGCTTTGCAGGCTGTGATAACCTTAATTGGTGATTGTTGTGTTTACTTGTGATGTTCAATTAGAGGCTCTTGAAATGCATTGTTGTTAGCTTCTTATTATGTTTTTCATGTGGTTCTTTTGGTATAACAATCTGTATCTTGTCATCGTGAGACTAATTCATATTGGATTTAAGTCACGTTGGCAAAGATTGATTCTTACTTGCGAGACTAATCCAAATTGGATTCAGGTCAAGTGGGCAAAGATTGATTCTTGTGAGACTAATTCAGATTGGATTTAGGTCATGTTTGGAAAGGTTTGATACTTATGAGACTAATCTAGATGGAATTCAAGTCATGTTGGCAAAGGTTGATTCTTGTGAGACTAATTCAGATTAGATGAGGTAATACCATCTGAGGTCATCCGAGTATAATGGTTTTGCCATGTTTAGTCCTAAACTTTCAAATTGACCATCCGTGGTCCTTCGACTTTCAAATATTCGTGGTCCAAGTTAACAACCCATGGTCCTTCAAGTTTTGAAATTTAACCAGTTCGTGGTCCTCTTGAAAGGACCATGGTTGGTTAAAATTTAATAGTTGAAAGATCATGAGTGATTAACTTAGACCACGAATGGTTAAATTTGAAAGTCAAAGGACTACAGATGGTCAATTTGAAAGTTTAGAACTAATCGTGACAAAACCACTATACTCGGAAGACCTCAGATGGTATTAACTCAGATTAGATTCATGTCGACGCGATGTCGTGATATAAGCCATTATGGTACAATCACAAATGGTAAAACCAACCACATGTATATAACTTCTAGTATGAATCATGTTGTCAAGAAACTGCCGTAGGAAACAAATATCCGGAAATGAAGTATGATATGCAGTATGAACATTAAAAGAAAGAAGATAACAACAAAAGCCTTACATAAAAAACTATCAAACATAACAATGTTGAGTTGTTTACAGTCGAATCGATTCAACTTTGAAGGAAATGCACCGGAATTGCATTGTGTAGAAACAAGGAGTTCCATGAAGAAATTTTTTAAAAAATTAATGCTTATAAAGACCAAGCAATGATTTTTCTCTCTTTTCAACTCGCTTCCTAGCAGCTTCTCTCGCTTTCAATGCAGCCGATTCTGCTTCTGACACAGCTTTTGGCTTTGCGGTTTCCCTTTTCCTTTTGCTGTTGTTAACAGTTAGTGAAGAAGGAGCACCTTTCACAGATCTGGTAGGATCCAAAGGAGTCGAGACAACACGCCCTGGTGGAGGACCACTTTGATGAGTTTTATCCCCCGAAGATTCAGACTTTGTTTCTGGAACAGGGCTCTTTAAAATCGGTTTCTTTGAAACAGATTCTGACGGAGCTCGAGTTGCTGCTAGCGCCTCTTCTTGTGTCACCCACCGACCTATTGCATTCAAAGTAATTACAAAAGGGCAAGCAAGAAGGAACTTTTTTTGGGAAGTAATAATCACAGAAAACAACTACTACCTAGAGCATCAGTATAGTAGAAGCCAGATTTTGGATCATAGTAACACCCGTTATTCTGATTGTAATAGTAGCCCGAAGAGTTGTCATATTCCCAATCTGTAATCGCGAAAACAATTTAACCTTAAGCAGCCAAACAAAGCACTATAAAAGGTAACATTTCTTAAAGCAAATACTTTCCCCACCTTCAGAAATTGTAGAATCTTTGGCACCTTCTCGCACTCGAGCTACATCCTTCTGATAACTGCGTTGTGCTTTCTGGCAATAAATTTTGTACAGACACTTATTATCACGAATGCAAGTACTTAATCCGTGCATATAGCTCATACTTAATCTTCTAAACTCGATAATTTATTAATTCATAAACTGAGGTCAAGCATAAGTACATTTAAGGAAAATGGAGGCCAGCATAATCAATCCAAGAGATTATTCCGTCTCCCCCATTTATCTGCCATCATCATCAAGGTAGCTTTTCAAAAGCATCCAAATACAAACAACTAAAAAAATCAATTGAATGAAGGATAATAACTATTAACCATGATTTGAATATACATGGTGGGCGATTTAACATTGTTTAACAAGAAGTATGTGGCATTTGTGAGGTAAAATGAGATCTAAATATAGCAGTAAAGCGAAAGAATGATAACTTACTGCTTCAATTTGTTCAAGAGCACGAGTTGCTTCCTTGTGTTCTTTCTCCTTTGCAGTTTTCTCTTGTCTCATGGCACTAAGCCGCTTTGCAACATTATCTTTGTGACGTTGACCGAGCTCATGGTTTCTGATGCTAGAAGGATTGTTGGAGATGTAGATTTTGCAGAAATCGCACCACTTGTTACCCTGACTAACCCAGTACTGGGAAACCAAAACAGCTGCAAGTTAGGCATGTTATTCAAAGGAAAATCACAGTAAGTCTAGATTCTTCTCTTCATACGAGATAAACAGTTTGGAATTGATAATAAGCACGATCCTGTGAAGAAACTCAAGAAAGAGAACTTAGGATCATCATACCTCAGTCATGGCTGCGAATCGAACTGGATTTTCTCCGAGAAGAGAGAATTGGAATTTCGTGCAGGTGCTCTTCACTTCGACCTTTCTCTTGATCTTCCGCGTTCGCTAATTTAAATTTAACGGTTTTTTTTTTTATTTTTTATGTTCCGAAATCCCAATTCTGAAAGTCGTGGGGGTTTTTGGAGATGGAAGAAGGCGGGATGTTTTGCCCGCCCCGATCCGTTTAGGGCAATTTAGTGCGGCGACGAGACGAAACGTCAAACGTAAGGCAGGATACGGCGCCGTTTTATTCACAGAGGGTGGGTTGACCAACGCAATAAATTACTCCGTATCTTATCGTGCTTGTTGTGAAACTAAGACCTGGATACGGCGTCGTTCTATTGTTTGTCTCCCTTTTTATTCTCGACTCCATCGCCGCCAGCGGCAACCGTGGTCGGCGAGGACAGAGAGGAGGAAGAAGAAGAAGAAGAAGCCGGAAGAGGGAGGGTTCTATAGATATAGAGAGAGAAAGAGAGAGAGAGAAAAGAATGGATCAGTCATTTTTGCTTATGCTATCGAATCTGCTGAACCTGCAAAACCACCTCGATCCCGCCACCTCGGTGCTCTCCGACTCCGCCTCCTTCGCCGCCTCCGCCACGTCGCCCACCTCTCTCCTAACCTCCACCACCGCCGCTCCTCTTCTCTTCTTCACCATTGCCTCCGTCCTCTCCTACGTCGCCTCCCACTCTCCCAAGAAAAAACGTAAAACTTCTTCCAACAACCCCTCATCTCCTTCCGCCGCCGAGTTCTCTATCTCCGCCTTCCGCGCTCTCTCAACCGAACACATATGGGCCATGGAAGTACCTCTCCGGGACGCCCAGTGGCGATCCCTTTACGGCCTCTCTTACCCCGTCTTCACCACTGTTGTCGATAAGCTCAAACCCTACATCACCCAGTCTCAACTCTCACTCCCTTCCGATTACGCCGTAGCTATGGTCCTCTCACGCCTCTCCCATGGCTTATCAGCCAAAGCCCTAGCTTCCCGCTACGGTCTCGAACCCTACCTAATTTCCAAAATTACCAACATGGTTACTCGCCTCCTGGCCACTAAGCTTTACCCGGAATTCATCAAGATCCCGGTGAGCCGTCGCCGGCTCGTGGAAACCACTCAGGGATTTCAAGAGCTCACCTCACTCCCAAACATTTGCGGCGCCATTGATGGAACCCCAGTGCGCCTCCATCATCTTCCCTCGGACACAATCAACTCCTCCATGTACTACTGCAAATTCGGATTCCCTTCAATTCTCCTCCAGGTTGTGGCCGATCACAAGAAAGTCTTCTGGGATGTCTGTGTGAAAGCCCCCGGTGGGTTTGATGACGCCACTCATTTCAGGGATAGTTTGCTGTATAACAGGTTGATCTCCGGCGACATTGTCTGGGACAAGGCGATCAATATCAGGGGACAACATGTGAGACCTTACCTAGTTGGGGACTGGGGTTTCCCATTGCTGTCTTTCCTGCTCACTCCATTTTCTTGGAACAGGACTGGAGGTCCTGCCCAGAATGCATTCGATGAAGCAGTGGCCAAGGCAAGAAAGTCAGCTGAAGAAGCCATTGTTTTGTTGAAGGGAAGATGGAAGATTCTTCAGGACTTGAATGTCGATCTAAGCCACGCCCCTCAAACAATTGTTGCGTGCTGCGTCTTGCACAACCTGTGTCAGATTGCAAGGGAGCCGGAGCCGGAGCTTTGGAAGGAGCCCAACGAGACTGGATCAATACCCAGGATATTAGATAACGAGAAGTCTTTCCATTACTATGGTGAAAGCTCAAGGCAAGCATTGGCTGATGATTTGTACCAGCGACTATCTTCCAGATGAGACCATACTTTTAACTCATCACAGAAACTGTTCTTACATATCTTAGCTATTTCAGGACTCAGGAGTGTACTGACCAATCTAGGTTTATGGAATTTTGGTTTCCTTTTAAAAGTATGTTAACTGATTATATGCAGCAGATTATTGATCAAGTGATCAACTTGTGCTGCAATTTTGTTCAGCAGCATTCTATGAACAAATGTGGTTATATATGCTCTTCTTTTTTGTATCCTATTAAGTAGATTTATATCTCTTAACATTAGATAAAACAGTTATTAAGCAGAACATGAGAAAATCCTCTCCTTCCAAACTCACAGAGAGTACCTGATGGAGCATTAACATTGGCAGTTTAACCACTATTTGGAAGAAGGCCATCCTTGGCCATTTCAATAAGAACATTGAATACTGCATCCATATTCCCTTCTTTGCAGTTAACCTCAACAAGAACTTTTGCCACCTCAGCATCGGTGAGCCTGCAGCTACTCAATGTGTTTTGAACAACTTGATTCAACTCTCTGTCCTTACCTTCTCTAAAAAGTTCTTTCATCAGTGCAATAACAGATATTGCATGAGGAGCGAGCCCACGATCCATCATTTCCCTGTAAAGATTCAGGGCTTTCTGCACATTCCCACCCCGGGAATGGCCATGTACAAGAACATTGTATACTGCTTCGCTAGGCTTTTGGTTTTGCTGCAGCATCCGCTCGTGAACTTTATCTGCTTCATTCAACAGACCCTTCATGCAGAAACTCTTGATAAGGTCTACTGCACTTCTAAATTCAAGATTACTGCAACTGTCAATCAGCATTTGATATGTGATGTCATTAGGAACAGATTCCTCGTAGAACAGCTTGAACAGAAGCTGTTTAGCTTCTCTACTGTGTGCTTGTTTTTGCAGACCATTGATTAGGACCCTATAGGTAACAACATCAGGAAAGAACCCTTCACTAATCATTTCATCATGTAAACAGAGAGCACCACTGATATTTCCTTCTGAGCAGTATGCATTAATGATTGTAGTGTATGTATGTTTATCAGCCTGCAAACCTATCTTCTGCATCTCTCTAAAAACTTCACAAGCTTCACTTACTTTCTGTTGCTCACAAAGACCATGGATTAATGTTGAATAAGTAACATTATCAGGAAAAACTCCTTTCTTAACCATCTCATCCTTCATCTCAAATGCTTTGTCCAAATCACGATTTCGGCAAAACCCAGACATTATAGTACTATAGCTTACAACATCTGGTACTATACCTCTCTGAGACATGTCCTCAATTACTTTCAAAGCATCTTCAGTCCTGCCCAGAACACAATGCCCATTGATCAGTGCATTATAAGTGATAATGCCAGGGGAAAAGCCACTTGCAGTCATTTTGTTCAAGAGTTCATAAGCTTCAACCATACAACCCTGCTGGGAGAAACCACAAATCAAAGTTGTGTAAGTTCTCTCATTTGGATATAACCCCCTACCACACATCTGATCAAAAAGCTCCATTGCCCGCTGCATATTTCTAGCCTTACACATGCTATTTATCAAAGAAGTATAAGTGACGACACATGGAGACAATCCATGTCTCAACATATCAGAGTGCAAAACAAGGGCTTGGTGGAAATTACCCTCTCTGCAATAACCATTAATTAGTGTGTTAAACGTTATCTCATCAGGCGTTAAGCCCTTCTGTCTCAGCTCATCAAGAACTTCACTAGTCTCTTTCATCCTCCCCGCTTTACACAACCCATTAATAATCATGTTGTAAGTAATCAGACTTGGCTCCAAATTTCTGACTGACATATCTTTCAACAACTTAAAGGCCTCAGAAATCTTCCCCATTTTACAGTAAGAATCAATCAAGGTATTATAGGTAACCACATTCGGCAAGCATCCATTTTCAGCCATTTTATCAAAAAATTGTAAACCCTTCTCTATAATCCCATTTCTGCAAAAACATCTAATCAAAATGTTGTAAGTATACACATTAGGCGAAATCCCTGAGCTGATCATATCTTCATAAACCTTCTGAGCTAAATCAATGTGACCATTTGATGGTGCCTTGATTATTTCAAGGAGAACTGAATTATAAGATAATACACTAGGCATAAACCCATTCGATTTCACCAAGTGGATAATATTCATGGCTGTATTGATCATTTTTAGTTGAGAGTAAGATTTTACCACCAAGTCGAAGACGGCGGAGCTGGAATTGCAGGCGAAGTAAGAGTCTTTGAGGCATGAAAACACAAAACCGCCCCCGTCGTCGCCGGTGGTTGCAGCCACTTCTCCGGCGAGGGATTGGGCGGTCTTGAAGACCTTATAACGAGTGAGAATGTGAAGCGAGACGCACTTGCATTCGATTGTGAAGAATCGGCGGCGGCGAGCCCAGGCGATGAATTGGAGGCATAGGGTTTTGTCGAATTGGGACTTGAGGAGTAATTGGGACGCCGATTCAGGAGTAAACTGGGAAGCCAGCGAGCTCAAAGGGATTGTGCATTGGCCTCTCATGACGGCAATGGCTTTGTCGACCAGAGAAGTGTCCGGCGAAGGTGACGGACGTGAATTTACGGAAATGGGCCTGGTAACTGAGCTATGGAGGGATCTGCAGAAGGGTTTAAGGAGGGACATTTCAGAAGGTGACGATGAAAATTGAAATGCGCAGGCGAACTGTAACAAACACAGAGTATCAAATATGTAAAGACAAATAAATTAAATATATATTTTTTTTTTCATTTATCATCTAAATAATGTATATAACTGTTGAAAATTTTACACAACATGAATATAAGACACAATCAAACTTCAATTTTATCAATTCCAAATATATAAAAACAAAGGTAATCAACACTAAAAACAAGGATTAAATTTAGAGTGTCTTGCTGAATCATTAGCTGGGGATACTACTAAGGCACAAGCTGAAAATCACACCCCAAGCTGGCTACTGCATATTTGCATCTTTCCTTTCTTCTCCCTCCTTCAACTCATGGTAGTCGAACTTGAGGCCCCGTAACTGATATTATCAACAAATGGAAGGGAAATAGGGAATGCAGATGCTATTTACTCTGAGATCGCTGTGCAAACTCCTAGCTATCAAGAATGGCAGGGGGAATGAATTAACTTCAGCATTATCCCTTATTTGTGCTGTCAATGCTGCTCGTTAGGCTGTCATCAATTACATGTATTCTGAGGGGTGATGGGTGCCATATCTGAGATTGTCTTCCTCCATTTGTTAAGCAAGACACACATTAGGATCTTCTTCATCGGAATCAAACTCAACCTGCAAGCAATTAGCATAGAGTGGATCGGTGTTCATTCAAAATATTGGGGTGCTTAGTGTGTTTGAAACATGGATTGGAATATCATAAGTTCCTTATAAAGCCATTCAACATAAGCTTTGGTTGTAGAAGTGACACAGAAGAGGGTTTGGCAGTGGCATTTATGTTCTGATTGAAGGAAATACTCACACTTTCGTCCTTGAACCATCTACCATGGCAATCACGCTTCCAACCAGCAGCAGTGAACTTAAGCTCTCTCTCATGGCGTTCTCGATCATATGCTACATATGCAACGCCTTTATGTTCTGGAGCTACATCTTTTGGAACACAAGGGCCACTCTCACTAATTGAGAGACTAACCGCTTCGCTCCTACCACCTTGTAGCTCAATCGCTTGACACATTGCATCTCGCTGAAAATTTTCAGCTTTAAGCGTCTCAGAAACAGCCTTCCGGGTGTTGTCAATCAACGGTTTACTTGTTGGTCTAAATTTGTTAGAACTGGAATTCACATTGCTGCAAGTAGCAGTAACATGCTCTGACAATGCTATTCTCTTACTTATCACGTCTTGCCTCGCTAGTTCCTTTTCCTTAAGCCTCGACTCTGCAGCTCGATGGCGTGATCCTTTTAGATGAGCCTACGATTCAAAGTTACAGACGATCAGCAAACTAACCTAACATGGACTCGATTGGAAGGAAGCACCATGGCAGTATAATTAGTTAATTACTACAAGTTTTACAGCAGTAATATGATTTCTCTTCTTGTGCATGCATCTATGCAACATAAAATCCATTCTCAACGACTGGATCAAAGTGAATCCGATTCACATTTCCATTACTCATTAATTAATGAAGCAGTTAACAAAATAGATCTATAATTGCAATTGTAAAACAGCTACTACCGTGAATTATCAGTTCTGCCTGAAAATTATGACAAGAAAAATCCAGAATCCAAATTAAAAAGCGAAATAAGGAAAGAGGGAAAGAGTTGGTGTGCTTACCGAGAGCACAAGGGTGGTGTCAAGGACGGGATTGTGAGGGCAAACAAGGCATGCGAATTTGCCGGAGGAGAGCTTCTTGTAAGCGGAGGACGAGGCGGCGGCGCCTATACTTCCGATCACCAAATCATCGACTCTTCTCTTCCGGTGTTGTGCCTCTCTTGCCCAGCTATCTCCTCCGAAAACGCTCATCCCAACAGTCTTCTCAGTTCTCACTTCTCACGTTGCTTCTTTTGCTCGATCGTCTTCTCCACCTCCACAAATTCCCCGCGCTGATTTTGGGCCTTTTGGGTTACGGAGGCCCAGGACAAACTAGCCCAATCATAGTATTCAAAATCAATCGTTATGCTGTGGGCAAATTAGGCAAATTATATTATGCACCGCGCGTCTTTTTTTTTAAATGAAAATTAACAGTGTTTATTTCCGCCGTTTCGCACCCTTTTGCAAAAAGTAACTCTTTTATTCAGTGTCATTTTGTATACACTGCAGTTTCAGTTGAACACAACTACAGTTTCATTTCGATATTACTATAGTTTCATTCGATATTTATAGACTCAAATATGTGAAAATGTTATTTAATTTTATTTTATATACACTATAGTTTCATTAAAACACAACTACATGATTATTTTGATATAATTATAGCTTCATTGTACAATATACACTCAAATATGTGAAATGTTATTCAGTTTCAGTTTATATACACTACAGTTTCATTTCACTATAACTATAGTATCATTTTGATATAACTGCAGTGTCGGTTTGGATATACTGTAGTGTCAGTTGGTGTTTAATACACCAAACAAACGGACTCCGTTAACTCAACGGCGGACCGTTTCTTTACTTAAAGAAACGGCGTCGTTTTTTACCGCGGTCTATAATATAACGACTGGGCAAATTATGCCCTGGAAACGTGCAACCGTTATATCCTACACCACGGCGCACATAGCACTGTGCGCCGCGCGCCTCCCAAAACGACGTCGTTTTGGGGTAGTGTTGGGAGGCGCGGTAGGAAGTTGCTGAGATTATGTGTATTTGTTCACAACGTTATGTGTATTTGTTCACAACGTTATGTGTATTGGTTCATACAGTTATGTGTATTTTTTATACAATTATGTACATTCTTTTTATACAATTATGTACATCCGAATCAGAAAATTTGTGTGTATTATGTTAAGAGTTGATGTGTATTATGTTAAAAGTTTATGTTTATTATGTATTATGTTAGATTATGTGTATTATCTTTTAAAAAGAGTATGTATATTTTGTTATATAATTATGTACATTCATGTATAACATTATGTGTATTCTAGTATAACATTATGTACATTCTTGAACAACGGGTTTTTTTTTTAAAGAAAAAACTACTGCCATTCACTGGGGCGGGAAATTTCAAAAAAAAAAAAAAAATTAAAACGACGTCGTTTTGCATCTGGGCGCATAGTGCAACGCGCGCCGTGGTGTAGGATATAAATTGCCGGAAACGTGTTCACCGTGAATGGTGAACACAAGGCCAAACGACGTCGTTTTTAGGCAAAAAAAAAAATTAAAAAATTCACGGATATGGAGTTAACGGCGCGCGTTGATCAAATTATGAATTTTCTGTTATGAGATTATGAATTTTCATAAAATTCATAATCGCATAACAGAAAATTCATAATCTCATAACAGAAAATTCATAATCTCATAACTGAAAATTCATAATCTTATAACAGAAAATTCATAATCTCATGGTTCCAAAGTGAATGTGTAGGCATGGTTCCAAAGTGAATGTGCAGGCATGAATTCATAATTTATGAATGTCCGAAATCATTATTCACCTCAAATTAAAGTGAAACCGCAAAATGTGAAAATGAAGAAGAAAAGTCACGCAATTAATTAAGAAAAAAAAAAGAAAGAAGATAACGGTGTACTAACACCGTTAGAACCGTGGTGAACACAGTTCCATGGCATAACGCTCCTATGCTGTACATTCGTTGCACCATGCATGGTGCATACGGATGCCAAAGCGACGTCGTTTTATTAAAAAACGCGCGTCTCCCCTTTAAAAAAAATTCAGGTTCGATTCCCAGCAACAACATTATATTGTTCATTCATTCTGGAATTTTAGTTCATAGATTATGGAATTATAGTTCATTGATTATGGAATTATAGTTCATCGATTATGGAATTGTAGTTCATCGATTCTGAAATTTTAGTTGATAGATTATGGAATTTTAGTTCATTCATTCTGGAATTTTTAGTTCATAGATTAGATTATGGAATTATAGTTCATCAATTATGGAATTATAGTTCATTGATTATGAAATTTTAGTTCATATGTTGTTGCTGGGAATCGAACCTGATTTTTTTTTTTTTAAGGAGAGACGCGCGTTTTATTAAAACGACGTCATTTTTGCATCCGTATGCACCATGCATGGTGCATACGCATGGTGCATACGGATGCACAGCATAATTTGCCATTCAAAATGCCCGAACGCATAGGCCCAACTTAATAAATAAAATAGAATTAGCATTTCTTTTTCTTTTTCTTTTTTGTTTGCAACAACAACATATAGGGTTGTTTGATAAATAGCTGTTAGCTGATTGAGTTAGTAGATTTGACTAGTTGATTGTAGAGAGATGTTCGATAAATTAACTATTATATGATAGTTGATTACATACAAAATGATTTTTTCAAAAAACTTATCGAAAAAACTACTTTGAGTAACTTTTTGAATTTTAGTATTTTAGAGCAATAAGTTGTTAGAAAAAGTTAATTAATTGGTTGTTTAACCAAGTCAAACAACTAATAGTCGTCAAACACGCCAAAATTGACTGATAAGCTAACAATTTTAGCAAACAGGACCATATATAGTTTGCAAACTATACCAGAAATGTTGAGAAAAATAAGATTAAGGGATCAATAATAGAAAATGAAAAGGAATGAAGTCATACAGTATTACAAACATCATATTTATAGACAAATCTAATTATACATTTGTAACATTATCTGTGTCTCATATCGTGGGGCGATGTTCCCGCACCCCAATCCACCCAAAACCAATTCAACTTTAATTTGAACCACAAAGATATATATTATCACTCCATTCTGCTACACTACATTGACGAGTGGTATACTAAAAGAATGTGCAACGAGTTCGACTAAAAGAATATTATTAAACATCAAACCCTTGGCTTCATCATTCCCCAACAATACCAATTTACTAATAATATTTAGGTTTGTAAGCTAGTTGAAACACACAAAGATTTACGTTCTTTCAAACTTAAAAAACGTGGAAATTAAATTAGTACAAAACATCAACAAAAGTTTCCTTTAATTTCAAATGCAAATGAATTCCTCTCCACAGTACAGTGGAAGACAAATCTCTCATTATATTATTACAACAACCTTTTCATCTCACTATGTCATTAAACACAAACAAAAAAGAAGCTAAAGCACCCAAATTTAGTATTTTTTGCTCCGACGACGATATGATCTAAGTTAAGAGTAACAGATCATCGGACGCCGTCGACCTAACGGAAACGGCGCATCATAGGCATCACAGCAAACTTCATGGTGCCATTGTTGCAGTGGAAGCCATCTTTCTCTCCGCAGGCGAAGAAGTAGGGCTGCCATTTCTTCAACACGAACTTGAACCCTTCTCCGCCGCCTTGAGTCGGGACGGCGAGCTTCTTCCCTCTGCTCACGTCGCACTTCATCCACGCCCGCAGGTTCGGCAGCAGGACGACGCTGTGTGCGTGGGTGGTCGCATTCGGAGGATCGAACTTGAAAACTGCAACACAAAAACATTCTTAAAGATCGAACTCAAAAAAACACGTTTAAGACACTACGGGAAAATATGGAATTTCCGACCACCTGAAAATGATCTTAAATTAAGTTGAAAGTAAAAAGTGGTCGGAAATAGCGACAAAGGTTTTTCTGGTGTCCGAAAGTCTTTCGACTTGATTTAAGATCACTTTCATGTGGTCGGAAATTTCAAAATTTTCGTGAGAATTGATCAGGGTTTGAGTTGATCGAGGTGGCGTACTAACCGAGAGTGTCATTAACGAAGAAAGGGCCGTTCTTGACGGTCCAGTCGATGTAGTTAACTCCGAACTGCCAGTGAGCAGGGCCGCCGACGGTGATTTCGTTGGAAGTGTGGGTGGTGTTCGGGTGGGTGGAGGGGCAGTTGGTTTTGTTAAAGGCGGCGCCGCCACCGCCGGGTGGTTTCCAGTTTCCCCGCCAGTTACCGAAGTTAGGCCGGGGGCTGGACATGGCAACGGCCGCCATGGATGTGAAAACTGCAGCGAGCAAGAGAAAAGCTTGGGAAGCAGCTGCCATGTCTTCTGCAGATAAGAGAGATGATCGGAAACGGCCGGAAAATCAAGAAAGAGGATATGAAGTTGAGGGTGGTGAAGAAAGGAGAGTGGAAGGGGGGAATTTATAGCGAAGAGTTGAAAGATGAGGAAATGGGAAATGGCCAAAACGAGTCAAATGTTGTCTGAAGTTGGGTTGGTAAGAATTAATTAAGAAAAATGGGAAAACAGTCCACCATTATTGTGGTGTGGTTAGTTAAGTCTTACGTTGATTATATTCTTTATGGTTTGAATGAATCAATGAATGTTAGTTAGTTCGACCGTATGGGACGGACCGGAGGAACATTTGTCACCGGAGTGATTTCCTGTCCGTCAATCATCCCTGTCGGAGTGTTGGGAGGGCCATGCATGCATATTATAGTCTCATACATTAAAATATTCGTTCTTTTAATTTTTAGGCAAAATCTTCAACTCTCCCATTGTTGAAATTGGGCAACTTTGTATTATATTTCTTGTGTGCACACACACACATACAGTGCCCCTTTATTCTAGTGTCATCCATGAGGTCATAAAAACAAAATGACACAACTAAAGGCAGCAATGTGAGGTAATTCGGATTCCATTGAAATATATGAATGAGAAAAGACAACCCAAAATGATGGAAGATGTAGATTTGATCTTTTATGTACGTATGAAAATTAGGGTATAACCAGAGAGTTGATTGCGTGACTCGCGATTTATCTCTGTAGTGGATCTAGAGACAAATCCTGTGAGTTTAGGATTAGTCCATCAAAATTGAGATGACCCTATAAACCAAAAAAAAAAAAATGCCAGTTTTACAATAGATCACTTATTTCCAACGTTTTCCCAATTCAATCGTTTAATATGATTATATTGATATATACCTCCACTCTTTTCATTTTAGGGAAGGAGGCACACAAAGAAGGTTAAATTTGTAAGTTGTTTTAGTTTGTTGGTTCATTGTTGGCTATTAATTACAAATATATATACATGTTGATAGCACACATTAAAAAAAAAAAAAAAATCAACATTTTTTTTGGATGACAAGTGAATAAGTGATACCCACAAATCAATTTTAGTTGCTCATAGTTGACTTACTCAAAATACTGGTACGCACAAGGGATCATAATCCTCACACTACTGTTGCCAAGGTTCAAACATTGATCTCTTCTCCCAAATATTACCTATTGAACCACTGAGTTAAGCCCATGTTGACATAATGATACAATATTGGGAGTATGTGAAGACTACCAAGAATGGGAACATAGTAGCCATAAATAATGTAGAAGTCAACCAACTTGCCAAAGTAAATAATATAAAGTAAATATAGTAAAAAGATAGTCAAATATGAGTTATAAAAATTCCCATCATTGCGGCAAATGTTGCGAATTGAACTGAAAACGGGTCCGCAGAGGGTGGCTGACAAAATCAAGCTTTCATACTATCATCATTTGGTTTATAGCATGTTTGATGTAATAATGACCCTTCCATTGCGTAATGCCCAAACCTATAAACCTAAACTGCTTGTAAGAATTTGCAAAATGTTGCTACGAGATTAATGACCGAGTGTGCAAAATATAATTTTTATATTAAAATGTCACAAGTTTAATTATTGTCAATATCAATTTCTCATTATGTGAATTGCAGCGTCTTGTTACACATGAACGAGGTTGAACCAATGGATGATATGATGATGGAGGAAGGAGGCTCATCAATCGAAAGGAGAAATACGAAGAATAATACATAGGCAGGTGAAAGGACGAGTTTACCCCTTCATTTAAAGTCCAATTAACTGTATTCTGTCGAAAAGGACTTCAATTGAAAATAAATTAAAAGTCAAGAGACCTAAAGTGTCTAAATTAAAAGTCGGGAACTAATTTTAAAAAATCAATATAGTTGGATGACCATTGTTGGAATTAACTCTAAATTATATGATATCCAAAATTCCAAATGATGGTAATGCAAAGAATAACCTAATTTTTTTGTGAACAATAATACAATATAAATTATGTAGCTATCATAAACCACACACATTACAGTTTCTTTGCTCCACTCCTTCTTGTATCAGCCAAACACGTCTTCAAAAGGCAATCGTTATGCGTTGGACCCGTGTCCGGCATGCTTGCTGGACACGGGTAGGCACTGTTATCTTTTTTTTTTTTTTTTTTTTTAAATTTCAGACTACTTCGTTATAGGAGTATATGTTCATAATTTTATTACTATATGTTAATAACTGTACATTCATAACTCCATAACTGTACATTCATAACTCTATAACTGTACATTCATAACTCCATAACTGTACATTCATAACTCCATAATTGTACATTCATAATTTTCGAAGCTTTATGTTCACAATTTTAGAACTCTATGTTCATAATTTTATCACTATATGTTCATAATTGTAAGTTCATAATATTAGAGCTCTTTGTTCATAATTCGATCAATAACTGTACATTCATAATTCCATACTGTAGATTCATAATCTCATAACTGTAGATTCATAACTCCATAACTGTAGATTCATAACTCTATAACTGTACATTCATAACTCCATAACTGTACATTCATAATCTTCGAAGCTCTATATTCACAATTTTAAAGCTCCATGATCATAATTTTATCACTATATATGTTCATAATTGTAAGTTCATAATGTTAGAACTCTGTGTTCATAATTTCATAATTGCATAACTGTACATTCATAACGGCATAACTGTACATTCATAACGGTATAATTATACATTCATAATCCAAAAAAAAAAAAAAAAAAAAAACGCCGTTAACGGCAAAACGCGCGCGATTTTTTTTTTTTTAAACTAAATGACGCGTTTTTTTTGAAAAACGACGTCGTTTTGGGCCCGTGCCCACAATTCATTGTGGACACGGGTCCAGGGCATAATTTGCCCTCAAAAGGGTTCCCACATCGGATTGAAAACTGCACATTATCCCGTTAATAACCAAAAATCTTGTAACGTCGTTCGCTGAGCTCTGTAACGTGAGCTTGTGACTCTAGTGAGAGCATTAAGGTGATGGGAAATTGGGCCTGTTTGGAAGGCTGGCCTTGGGTTGCGATTGACTGGGCTGCCCATTCCAAGTTGGGAGCTGGGCCAATGGTGGTTCTGAGAAGGCAGAGCTGTCTTGGCCTTTAGATCGGAGGGTATTGTGTTAGGCTGGTTTCACAGAGCAGCAAACACCTCTTCCTCTTAACGGTGGAAGGATAACAGGCTGCCCATTCCAAGTTGGGAGTTGGGCCAATGGTGGTTCTGAGAAGGCAGAGCTGTCTTGGCCTTTAGATCGGAGGGTATTGCGTTAGGCTGATTTCACAGAGCAGCGAAAACCTCTTCCTCTTGACGGTGGAAGGATTACAGCCCGGTGTGACTTGAGACCATTAGTGCTTGACAAGCTGTCCTAATTTGACTATCACCCTTTTCAAACTTCGTTCAAAATTTTCCGACTTTATCAAATTATATCCAAGATCCTATGACCCACCCCACCCATCAAGCCCATGATGATTTGTCCATTTTACTAGTTGTTCAATCCTTTATCTTTCTCTTTTGAAAACTAAGATTTTTCGACTTTGTCCAATTATATCCAAGATCTTATGAATCACCTCTCAAGTTCATGATGATGTAAATTAAGATAATTGTATACTTCTACATACAATGACTGATTGACTTCAACCCAACTCTTTAATATTCATGGTAGGAATCGGACTTCCACCATGCTGATAGAAGCAAGTTTTAAGTGAGAATTTTCATCAACTAGACTAATGCCCTGAAGGCAAATCATGAATTTTCAAAGAAATCAAAATTAATTAATTTGCAAAACTACTTAAATTCTTTGAGTAGTTTTCCAATACACACTTGAAATACGTCCTTTCTGATCCTCTCATAACAGGGAAAGATCGTCTCAATGCTCTAACTCAATATAAACCGAATTGTTTTACAATGTTATCAACCCAACTAAAGAAAAAATTAAGTGTTAATTTATTATTAAAATACTTTAAATTTGCAATATCAAAATTTTTAGTACTAATTACTCTATTGTAATATCATCTTAAATTCTTAACTAAAGATAACTAAAGAAGGGGTCTTGGGATGTGTGGTCTGGTCCCAACCTTCTTTCAAAATTAGGCAAGTGCACCAAACAATGGAATTGAAAGACAAATTATCAACACTATAAATGGAATCTTGAATTAAATTACGCCCCAAGGACACATGCCTATATTTGGTCAAGTCTTCAAGTAAATACTCATATAGTTCAGTTGAATTTCTCCTCAATAAAAAAAAAAAATGAACTAAAGAAATACTTTTGTAGAAACTTGAATTGATAACATTAATGCTAATTACACCTTTACACTCAAATTAAAGAACTATGCAAAACAATTTAGAATAATAATAATGAAATGTCACTCCAATATAATTAGGACTTGCACATATTTTCTATGGTCTCAAGAAGATTTTGTTTGAAAATAATATTAACCAAAGAATCATTTATTGATATAAATAAACATTACTTTTTAGAATGTTTTTCGTCTCAATTCCAATTTTATTTAATTGGCATGATTTGATTGAAATATTATTATTATTATTATTATTATTATTATTATTATTATTATTATTATTATTATTATTATTATTATTATTTTACACAAAATATTATTGGACTTTAGAAGTGTGGACAAAAGTTTTCTACCTATATGTAATCACAGTTGATTAGTTATTATACCACGGATCAAGGTCTACCTTGCAAGGTGAATCAGATTAAAAATACACAATTTACCTACTGAATATTTACAATTTATTTTTTACAAAATTGTGAATATTTAATATATAAATTATGTATTTTTACACTTAAGGTGGACGCTGATCCATAGAATAATTTGACAAAGTTAATAGCATGGGAAATGGGAATATTTATGATCTATCAACTCATTATGCCCCACACACGTGTGAAAAAAATATTTAAAATGCTCTCAATCTTCATACGAAAAGATAATTAAACTTATGAGTTTTAAAAAGTTACAATTAAATGTATCTTGATGCAATTTTAGATTAGTGATTAAAATATGATTGTATTTTTCACATTTAGTG